GGGCCTTCAAGTAGGTGAAGACGAGCTGCATCACAGCCTTCAAAATTGGTGGGCCTCCTGGCAGCATCAAGGCAGTTATAAGACCACAGATACACGAAGTCCTTGCTAATCAACTTGCTCTGAGTTACCATAGTGCAATTTTATCTGTTCGTAAACATTACGGTATTCCTAGTACGGCAAGTTAAACCGAGCTCCTTGACACGCGTCCTGGCTGGGTTGTTCGGCGCGGTGTTTCTGCTTTAGTACTCCAGTCATGTTCAAAATCCTGGGCAATTTATCTTGCGTCACTTGGGAGGCTCGGTTCCGTGTTGAGTTAAGGCTTGTAGAGTTTAGGTTTAGGGTTTAGAATGTTTCTTTCTTGAGGAGACAGCGCCCGGGACTTCTGCCTTTAGCACGAGATCAAGTGGTCCAAGCTGGTTCAAGCGGCTTTTGCGGAGTTTGTAGATTTGGGGAATTGTAACTTTTCGGGGGGCGAGCGGCGATTCAACTGACATTCATACATCTCCAGAGCGACGGAAAGGCCAAGACTAATGGTGGTAGTCCCCGGTAACAGGGGTAAAAAGGACAACAGTAAGGCAACGAGCTGGTGCAGCAGCACCCACAATATTTCACCATTCCAGTCGCAGTAGCAGTGACAGTATCAGTTGGAGCAGGAGCAGATGGAGTAAGAAAGCAGTACCTCTAGTAGTAGTAGTAGTAGTAGTAGTAGTAGTAGTAGTAGTAGTAGTAGTAGTAGTAGTAGTAGTAGTAGTAGTAGTAGTAGTAGTAGTAGTAGTAGTAGTAGTAGTAGTCGTTGTATAGTAGTAGTAGTAGTAGTAGTCGTAGTCGCAGTCGCAGTCGTAGCAGTAGCAGTAGCAGTAGCAGTAGCGGCATAGCAGTAGCAGTAGCAGTAGCAGTAGCAGTAGCAGTAGTAGTAGTAGTAGTAGTAGCCGTAGCGGTAGCGGTAGCGGTAGCGGTAGCCGTAGCGGTAGGAGTAGGAGTAGGAGTAGGAGTAGGAGTAGGAGTAGGAGTAGGAGTAGGAGTAGGAGTAGGAGTAGGAGTAGGAGTAGGAGTAGTAGTAGTAGTAGTAGTAGTAGTAGTAGTAGTAGTAGTAGTAGTAGTAGTAGTAGTAGTAGTAGTAGTAGTAGTAGTAGTAGTAGTAGTAGTAGTAGTAGTAGTAGTAGTAGTAGTAGTAGTAGTAGTAGTAGTAGTAGTAGTAGTAACAGTAGTAGCTGATGATGATGATGATTGTACTGGCAGTAGTGGTGTTGGTCGTTACCCGAATCCCGAACAAGCTTCAACAACCACGAAGCCCAAAGCCTCAAACCTAGAGGCCCTTTGGGCCCTCACTGGAGGCCAACTTTAACAGGAAGTTGGATCAGCCTGTCATCATCTTCTATGCAGAGGCTAGCATCCTATCAGCAAGTTCGGGGTGTAGCGTGTTACATGTAGTTTTGTTCTTCACCGCTGGTTCGAAAATGTTGAGGCTTGCTTGCTCAAGCTGCGTTTACAGTAGTTTGCATGTGGATTTGGTGTTTCCGTAGCTGTGGTCCAGGTTGTCGTCTACAGGGCATCGACATTGTTGCTGATGCTTGTCCTGAACGTCCTGTTGCTGGTGACAAGTGCTGCTTGATGCGGCTTCCACAGAGGGGTTGTCCTTACCCCAGGTTTGTACTCAAGCGTCGTCTACATGGAGAACCGTGCTTTCTGAAACTTTCTATTGTTGTAGGATTTGTAGTGCCTATTTCAGAATTGAGATGCCATCGGTGTTGTCTACATGGAGATTTGTGTTGTCTATCGTTTTGCGTTTGCGGTGTGATGTTTCCAGGTTTCGTAAAGCTGTCTCAGATGCCTTTCTTTGGAGCTCTAGATACATTCGCGCACGCGTGCTTGTGAAATCTAGCGTCTAGAATAGGAATTGCCATGTTGCGTTGTGCTCTGATGCCACTGACGTGTGTGCCGAGCGGGTGCCTGCGAAATCGAGCATCTACGCGGTGGAAGGGCCGGAAAGCAATGCTGATGTGACCAAGGTGTGACCCCATCGCATGCTGAACACGTCCCCTAGGCTGTGTTCCAACAAAACAAAATGTGACCAAACGCCTCCGCTGCATGTAGGATTGCTTGTTGTGCCGCCGTATGGTCACTGACGGTTGTGGCGGCCGCTTTTGCTTTCTGTTGATGGTTCTTTTGCCATTGTTGCCAGTTGCTCACGTTACGTTCCCGAGTACCTACTTCAAATCCAGCAACAGGCATTTTCGAGCGGAGTTGCTGCACTACTGAGCTCCACGCCGAATCGTGCAACTGGACAGCATCAGCTTGTTCCAAGCCCTTAACCCTACGCCCTGACCCGAGAACCCCTGAACCAAGGAGAACCGTGGAGAACCCTGAAACCCTATCAATCTAAACCTTATGGAACAAGTATAATACAACTCTGATAGGCCTCGAGCCCGAAACCCTAAGACCCTACACCCTAAGCCTTCACGCCCTAAACCCTTAAGCCGAAGACCCCGAACCCTCAAGGACATGCAAGCCAACTCTAGACCCTCACCGCACTTCCGCCCGAAGAGCGCCGGGAGATAGCATTTTGCCATAGGGGCCAGGCTTAAGGGAACAATTAGATCATGGTTTGGCTGTGGACTAAGGCATAAACATGGGGAATAGCAACTTGTACATGTGGGTGGTTGTCAAAATTATGGTCCCTTTTTTGGTCCCTAATATAGTACGGCACCTAATATTTAGGGTACCCAAAATGGGACCAAATTTTGACAACCACAAGGAAGAAGTTTCCTCGGCCTAGTCACCAACCCCTCGAGCCTCGCCCCTATGCTAAAACCCGAGCTCCTAAGCCTTCCAGCCCTAAACCCTAAACCCTAAGTCCTAAACCTTCAGCCCTAAACCCTAAACCCAAAATCCTACACCCTAAACCCAAAGTCCTAAACCCGAAACCCGAAATCCTAAACCCTGAACCCAAACTCCTAAGCCTTCCAGCCCTAAACCCTAAACCCTAAGTCCTAAACCTTCAGCCCTAAACCCTAAACCCAAAATCCTACACCCTAAACCCAAAGTCCTAAACCCGAAACCCAAAATCCTAAACCCTGAACTCAAACTCCTAAGCCTTCCAGCCCTAAACCCTAAACCCTAAGTCCTAAACCTTCAGCCCTAAACCCTAAACCCAAAATCCTACACCCTAAACCCAAAGTCCTAAACCCTAAACCCAAAATCCTAAACCCTGAACCCAAATTCCTAAACCTTAGACCCAAAATCCTAAACCCTAAACCCAAAATCCTAAATCCTAAACGTTCAGCACGTGATTCCAAAGCGAAATCGCATGAGGTTTGGTTCGCCTTCGTCGGCCCTGACTTCGTTGCAGCTGCGCACGGAGAGGCTACTGGTTTGGGGTTTAGGTTTAGGGTTTAGGGTTTTCAGGGTTTAGGGATTGATTGTGGTGGCAGTCATTCCGGTGATAATGTTACTATGCGATGCTGGTAATCACAACAAAACATGGCTGCAAGTCCGTCTTTTACAACTGCCAGAACATACCGGAACACAAACAGTGCTGTGTGGAAGAAGCCACACTAGCCCTAAACCCTAAACCCTAAACGGGGAGGTGTGTGCGACTCTGGGTTACGAGTCTCTTGGGGTTCGCTGATTGAGGGCTTCAGGGCTTTAGCCGTGTAGATATCGTGGGCTTCACAAGGGTGGCCCAGCTGGGCAAAGACGGTTTAGGATTTTGGGTTTACAAGCCTTAGACAAGGTGTTGCGTGGTCCCACATATCAGACCCCCTATCGTTCCGAGGTGGGTAGATGATGAGTTTGTTTATGCAAGCTGTTCATGGCTGCGTATGCATGTAACCTGCATGAAGACCCTGCTGAATATACCCCCCATGTTTGTTCAAGAGCCTTAGTTAAAGAATTGGATTCACAGTATAATCCCGTCGACGTAGCCGGTGGTATTTATCAGGAGTCAACATTATGCATCACGTTTACACGTTTCTTGCTTCGAGGGTTGCGGCTTGGGTTCAGGGAGCTGCTGGTGATGCCCTCAAATGCCCCGCCTGAACGCCAAACCCGTAGCTTGAATCTTAAGCCCTAAACCCTAAACCCTAAAACCCCTATCAAGGGGCAGGAAAGATCAGGCTTGGGCTTGGGGAGTTCCTGTGCTACTCAGTAGTCGAGTACGTACCCGTTCACCTTGTTGGGGGTACTATAACCGCTATACAGTGCAGACGGTTAGCCTTCAGCTCGTCTAGGACCTAGGATACTGGACAAGTATGTTTAGGGAATCCCCAAGACTACCCTTTCTGATTGTTCAGGCCCTTGTATGCCCCTGTAAATCTGAATCTAGCCCTCAGGGCTTCCATAAATGCACAACACGCCTCTTTGAAACCCTGTACTTAGGGGTACTTAGAAGTATGTTTTAATTTTCGGTCATTATAATCCCTAAGAAGCAGCTAGAGCTATAATTTTTGCTAGGGTTCTAAGTTCAGTATAGTGTAAACCTGAACCAAAAACCCGAGATCGTAAAGCATGGTTGCTCAGGGTTTGGGCGGCCTTATGCATGAAGCCCACGATAGCGGCTGGAAATTCCCGTGCTGTTATTCCTTGAACAGTCGATGGGTGGTTGTCATAATTAGGGTCCCTTTTTGGGGTCCCTATTGTAGTACGGCACCTAATATTTAGGGTTCCCAAAAAGTGACCATAATTTTGACAACTACCCACGTATAGTATAATATACACCGAAACAATGTTCTCACTGCCAAGGCCCCCATATTTTTTACAAGAAGGCAGGCGTAGTTTGGGAGCCTAGGGTTTAGGCTTTAGGCTTTTGGGTTAAGGGCTTCAGTGTTTAGGGTTTTGCAGGTTTAGGAAGGGTTGGGGATTGGGTTCTTGAGTGAAATAGTGTCGGGAGTCGGGTTTGTGTCAAGACAAAGATCCTTCAGGAAGCATGCGCGGCCGCGGCTTGGTGCAGGCCGACACAGATACAGATAAAGCTAATGAGCGAGTCAAGTGGAACCTTTGAAATGCACTCGTTTTGTATCAGAACTACCTCCGTGGCTCTTTCTCTCTGGCCGTCCTTCAAGCTTGTGGGGCAACTTCTACGCGTAGGCGAGTGTAGCCTGGCAGACTTTCGACAGCACGCAATGCCTCTGAATATGTTCGTTGTGGTGATGGTGGCCAGCACCCTTTCTTTGGCCCGTGCCTGCTCCTACTTCGAGTTGAACACAAGCCATGAGGGTGTCAAGGTCATCGGTCACACTATGGAGTTCAACAAGATCCTGACATTCACTGACTGGAAGCTTTTCATGACGCCGAGAAAGAGCAGGGTGATTCTGAACAACGTGTCCAACGCCATCTCCGACGTCGGGGTTCTCCCAAATGGGAGTTTCCGAAAATAGGGGACCCTAATAATAGAGTACCCCAAATAGTAGGATCATTATTCTAAGGACCCCAAAATATGGTAACCCCTACTTTTCGGAAACTCCCAAATCAGCACACCCTGGGTACTGCCCTTACGCTGTAACACTTAGATATTGAGGCAGTAATGCAACCCCTAGTATGGACTGCTACAGGAAAGCGGCAGTACCCAACCTAGTAGTCGAGCAGGTAACCTTTAACCTTTTTTGGGTAGTGTAGCCCCTATATAATCCCTATATGACCAAAAAGGTTAACCTGTAGTTCCCCATGATACCAGACAATTAGGCCAAAGCACACCCTGTGTCTGAAGCTTACTCCCAAGCCCCAGCTCGGAAGGAACCTTAGCATGATACTAGGATGGTTGTCAAAATTATGGTCCCTTTGTAGGTCCCTATTATAGTACGGCACCTACTATTCAGGGTACCCAAAAAGGGGCCATAATTTTGACAACCACCCACTAAAGTAGACCCAAGGGGTCCAACAGCACTACAATTAATGGAGCTTCGTCCCGAAAGACCGTCCTTGCTAGGTTTTTGGGGGCCTAATTCGAGAATAGGCGTATATATGGACGCTCTAGGACAGCTCGCCAGGCAAAATATGGGGTGTTGGGAATTGGCATCCCACCAACATATGCTGATGGAATGAACCCTGGTAGCTGAGTGGATACACTTTACACTTTATTTTTGGGATAATATTACCCACTATAAAACTGAAAGGGTACACTTTTGGTGGCCTAGTAGTCGAGTAGGTAACCTTTAACCTTTTTGGGGTAGTATAGTCCCTCTATAATCCCTATATAACCAAAAGGTTAACCTTTAGTTCCCCATGATACCCGACAAGTAGGGTGGGCTTATGAACTCAGCAACTAAGGAACGAGAGGGGCCTCACGATCGCCCTGCAGTCTCTCTATCGCAGTGAATATCAGAAGTGCGACTTCTTCTCGAAACTGGCTCATCTTAGGGGTACTTAGAAATATTATTTTTTTGGTTCTTATAATCCCTAAGAAACAGCTAAAATTATAATTTTTGCTAGGGTTCTAACTAAGTTCATCTTTGTCATGTTCGATTAACTTTTTCCGATTGCCTTTCCCCTAAGAGCGGGTCCACCAATGTCTGCGTGTTCAGCCATACCGTAGTCGTGATCCAGGAAGGAGTACAAAACCATCTTCACCCAGAGCCTTGCACAATGGGTCTTGGCTTCTTTCTCCACGGTCGAAGAGGTCAAAGCAGCAATCATGAGCAACAAGTATTGCATCATGAACCCGCTGCCTCTGAGGGCCAGCAACACGCACTGGGCTATTTCTGACAAGGAGGGTGGCTCGATTGTCTTGGAATATGAACGCGGGGAGCCGAAGATCCACAACAACTATGTGGGCCTCATGACCAATGACCCCTTCTACCCATGGCATGTTGACTACCTGAATGCCTTCCGGTGGGTCTTGCCCGAGGAGGGCAACAATAAGGATCTGGTCCTCCCAACGGGAGAGCTCTTGGCAGGTCAAGGGAAGGTACCCTACGACATGGGCCATGGCTTCAATACCGGTGGCTTGCCGGCGGACGCTTCCCCACCATCTCGCTTTGTCAGGATGTTCTTCACGAGGCAGATCTCGCAGGCTCGATCTGCATGGTCCAAACATCACTGGGCTTGCGCTGGGTTCCTGCCTACATCCCTCATATGTCATAAGTCTCAGGGCTGGAGTGCAGATTAGTCATTTAGAACCTAGTGTCTAGTCATGATGTCAAAAGCCCAGTCTTTCATTTGAGGCAAATGCTCCTCCACATACCATCGAGGACTGGATGGTGCTGGCTCAAGGAATTCTCAACAGCGTTTTCATCACGAAAGGCTTCACTGGACCGAATCCCGCCGGCAGGCTTGTTGAAGGTGACCACACATCTTGGGCGACTATCCGGGTACCTAAGACTGGTTTCTACGCTTATCGCACCTACAAGAACATGCAGTGGCAGATGGTGGACACGAAGAAGCTGGATTGGACCCAGCGCATCAAGCTTCACACAAACAACGACTTCACAGCAAGCGTCAATGACATCACTTCGTGGCTGGGCTTGCATTGAAGCAGGGTTCGCATTCGCATGCAGGATTGTCCGTCAAACTTGGAAGAGGAGCAAGAGGCAGCAAAGTTCGTCCTGGCCCTTAGTTAAAACCTTGCCTGGACCCCAAAAGTATGTAGAATAATATAGCCTTTTCTGGGTATTGGGCCATTATTTTACCTACTTTGGGGTGTTTAGGTGTGGGGTTATAAGTATAGCTACGCTAATTATAACCCTAGTTACTAAGTCCCATGATCCTTTAGTTCAAGACCCACGATCCTCAGAACTGACCCTCACCGCCCAGGTCTCTGCCGATAATCGACTCCACTGGTCAGCACTTCCTTCACACGAAGCCAGGCTGTTCAGTGGTACGCTTTTTTACTTTCAGGTTTCTGGGTTCCTAATAGGAACTTTATATATAGTAGTGTTATATATAAAATAAGAAAACCCTAAACCCTAAAACAGTATAGACGTCTTCCCAGTGGGTTACTGAACAGCCTAGGAAGCGACATGGCCAGCAGGTGGAGGATTCTGTGCGTCTTAGCATGCAGTGGTCTGGTAATATAGGGGCCTTCATACTTAGAATGGGATTTCTTTTGAAGGGGTCTAGAAGGATTACTACAAGGGGTGCTATAAGGATTGAGTATAGGGGCCTTAATATTTTGAATGGAGCTTTTGGGGTCCGTTATACTATAATTGTAGTAAGGAACCCCCAAAATAGTTTTGGTAATCATGAAGGCCCCTATATCTATATTGTTGTTTTCTGTGGTTCCTTACTCTTCTCGTTGAGCAGCGCGGAACTTGTACCGTTCTTATCCATCTCTGCCCGCCCCGAGCATCGACCAGTAGCATTATCTTGAGCATGGCTCCGAGGGGGGTACTACTGTTGATGATACACATCCTGCATTATCCACAATAAGGAATATACCATAATTCCCATAGTTTAGGGTCCTTAAGGTAATGCAGGATTTATATGGGTGGTTGTCAAAATCATGGTCCCACTTTAGGGCCCTAGTATAGTACGGCACCTAATATTTAGGGTGTCTCAAAAGGGATCATAATTTTGACAACCACCCATATCATCAACCGTAGCGGCTGGTAGGATGCAGCGAGGGGAGTCTGAACCTGAGAAACCCAGCCCGAGACCCTGCAGGCTTGATGGTTTACAGTGGTCCCTATAAATTCCATAGTAGGCTTTATAAGAAGAACCTACAAAAAAAGTAGGGTTTGGTAGATTAAGGTACAGTAAACCCCATAAAGTTGGAAACCGGGTTAAGGCCAAATAGTGCTGGGATTCCCTATACATTGCTCTTAAGGATTGAGGCTATTGGGTTTCCAACATTCGGGCTCCCACTGTAGTCGTTGAGGGAGTAGAAACTCTTGCAGAAATACGGTTGAACGGAAACCCTAAAACTCTAACGCCCCAAAAACCCTCAGGCCCTTTAAGCCTAAACACTACAAGCCTATACCCCAAACCCTCTGAACCATAAAACTGGACATGTAAGGCTCTTTCAGAAGCCGACGCAAGAGCTGTGAAGCTGAAATCACTGAGTCCTCTGCGCGGCCAAGCCTCATGCATTTCAAACGGATTCCATCTGTGCTTGACTCGCCCTCTGCAGCATATGCTGTGTCTACGCATCTTTTGAGAACACAGCTTCCTTTGCCAAATGCGCAGTCCTGGCATGGACTTCTGCAACCTTCGACATCTTTGGACCAAAGCCGTCTACTGAATGAAAGCCTATTGCAGCAGTTCAGAGTTTCCGAAAATGGGCTCCTTGAAGGGATCCATAAGGGCTACTATAAGGGTACTATTGGGGGTTTGGGGGTACCTAGGACCTAGGGGTTATATGGGTTTAGGGTTCAGGGGGACCCTGATTATAGTACCCTAAACTGTAGGATCCTTATCATAAGGACCCCAAAATAAGGTACCCCTAGTTTTCGGAAACTCCCAGGTAGCATTGTGCATATTGCTCGCTGCACAGACGCCAGCAGATGGCATCTCGCTGGAGAAATAGTCCCGCGAGGTGGCTGCTGTCGGCAGACCGCTTGCAGCATAAGTTTGCAGTTTCAGCATGCATGTTCTAGGGCGTTCTTGAGCTTCTGGAGAAGAAAAAAGCTTGCAGTGCTTACAGGGCTTCAACATCTGCTCAGCCAGATTATCGATTACTCTCCAAGTCGACGTTATGCGCTGCATGCCCCATCGGCATCAGGTGGCGGCAGAAAAATTAGAAGTTGAAATCCCAGCTTTTCACGATGTTAAAGGATGCAAAGCAGTTGGCGCGTTCCAGACTGCAACTGCAAGTGTAAGTGTTCTAGATTCTGCTTACTTCGTTTGGGACGCATTACCTTATGTACCAAGGTGTGCACATATGTAGGCATTCAGGTGTGCAGGTGCATGCGTATATGGTCATGCACCTGTGAGTGCATCTATGTGCGCGCATGCATGCTGCAAACACGAATGCATGGGTGTACAGTGTATGACCATATCGTATGTGTATATATATATATAATATGTTTATACGCATGCACATGTGTGTGTATAACCGTATGCATGCATCGACAGAGTCTGCAGGCCAAACATTCATGCCAATGCAGATCACAGGCAGATGCATAGCTGGGTACATAGATACAGATACATGCATACGCAGATACGCAGATACACAGATACCCGAAGCCGCAAGAACGAGGCAATGAATCTAACCCCTAACGTCCAAGCCGTCGAGAGGCTTTGGGTTCAGAGCTCAAGAATCCTTAATTTCAGCCACGAAACGAGCGATGCATGGTATACTTCCAGTGCTACTTCAGTCGCTATGGCCGATACCCTAAGACCTTTCATGTTGGCGTCGGGATCATTGTTTTTAAGGCCCCTATATTACTCACCAGTTCAGACAGCACATTACGACCTTACGATTGAATAACTTATTCTGACGGCCCGCGCATATGATGAAGACTGTGCTGTGACGAGCTTTGTCGAGCTGTTGGCGGGTGCGGGATTCTTCGGCGTTTCTGAACTGAAGCAATACATGCGTTTCGTATGGCTCTTTGGGGTTAGAAGGCTTTGAGGCATACAGGCATACCTGAGCCCTAAACAAAGCCCCCAACCCCTTTACGGGCTTCCCTGTCATGTTTTCCTGATACAAGTTCTCGACAAGATACGTTCCTTAGGGTCCAGGTAATGTCTATAAGTTAGTTTCCATGGCGGAGGCTATCGTTGCAGACATGTCGTACGCTCCGTGAACTGATGCCCAGTTTGCCGGAGATGGGTTTAGGGTTTAGGGGGGTTTAGGACGTAAGATTTGGGTTTAAGGATTTCGGGACAGGTCCGCAGCGCGCCACCAATTGATAAGCTTTCAACCTTCAGTCTGAAGCCTAAACCTCCCAGCCCTGAACCTCTAAACCCTAAGCTCCGAGAAGGTTCAAGTTTTCTTCAATCTTCGAGCATCAGATGCTGCTCAACATCGCCATTGCCTCAGCATAACATAAGCAGTCGTGGGGTTGGGCATTTGTACCCGGACCTTCCAAAATCCCTTAATTAAGGAATATACCTTAATTCATATTTGGGATCCTAGAAAAAATTTAAGGTATATTCCTTAATTAAGGGATTTTGGAAGGTCTGGGTAGCTAGCCTGCACAAGAGGTCTCTCATACGCGTGTATAGGTATCTGTTTGCACAGGTTTGCGTCCATATTTATGTTTGATGTAGATATGTGTTTCCCGTTTGTATCGCACTTGTGTGGGGTAATCTAAGGATGGTTTGGGGTTCAGGGTTTAAGGTGCCTGCAGGTTGTTTGGAGCTGTGGTCAAGCTGTGGCCTGGAATTTAAGGGTTTATGAACATCCCCATTCCCACAAAGCTCGTCGCAAAACGCGGAGTGTCTTGGTAGGCCAGTTAGTTTTGTATTTGCCCTAAACCCTACCCTCAAACCTCCTGTTCCAACTTCCCTTTGATCTTCCGGGGGACGACGCAAGCCCTTTCTAAGGTTGCTTTTGTGGGGTTTAGAGTTTTGGGGTTCAGGTTTCAGGGTTTAGGTTCCGGGTTGCAGTCATAGGGCTTGGGGTCTTAGGCTTAGGCTCTGACTCGAATCAAAGGGAGAAGGAGGGACCCTTAGTGGGGACCCCTACCCTATAATAGGCTATATAATGGGTATATCATAGCTATATTAAGGGTATATTACCTAGGGGTCCGTATTAAGGGTCCCTCCTTTTCCCCTTGGATCGAAGGTGCCGGGGACAGAATGCGGGAAGTTGGCTTGTAAGGACGGAGCTTGAAGGCCTAGTGCAGCCGATCCTCCAGTGGACGGATGCGGGGCCCTTTATACTTAGAGCACGGTGTTCGGAGTGTGTTATATTATATAGTTATATCGGGACTGTA